GTATTACAAGCTAATAACTTTAAACATATTTGTCCTATCAAAAAGTTGTTCATGAGAAAGTTTCATACATTCGAGGGGCCTTTCTAACTACATAAACAAAAAAGTCTATTACCATTTTGCAAATAACACGTAGAGTTATGAGTTATTCATTAAAGAAGATTGTCGGATAATCGCGTAGGATAATGCACCAATGTTCTTTAATTAATAATTAAAAACCTACACCGTTATTTATAAAGTAATGGAGGATTTTTTTGTTCAGTTTAACTTAATCTGCAAACACACGACTGCAGACGTCGCTATCTGTCATATCACGCATGATTATATCACGTCAGTTTTTTTTAATTAATAACTCGAAATTACGTGGTTCTTCGAGAACTAGTAGAGGAATTTTTTATTCTTTTTATTTAATCTATCTGTACAAAGCAGCTCTGATGCGAGTTATAGGATATCTTGTATACACGATTTTTATAAATAGCTCATATATGATGGTTATATTTATTATATAAAATTATGAAAAAAAAATACGAAGGAAATACGAAAAAAACGACCAAATTTTGTTTAAAACAATATGTTACGTAAAACGTAATACGAAAATTTTGGTGTATAATTTTGAGTAAATTTGTTGTTGCATCAATAAAATTAAAAGCTTCCATTATTGTATAATAAAAATTTAATAATTAATTCATTATAATATATTTTTTATCTTATAAATGTAATTTAAAAAATTGTAGAATTTCCATCATCAGTTGTTCTATATCATGATAATCATGAAAGTCTATCTGGGTATAAACTAGGAAAATGACACAGTTTGTTATAGTTACCTTCAATCCAATACAATTCTATTTCTTGTACGGCTGTTCAAACATATAAATTAATTACACTAGTCCACACATAATTTATTACATGGAACTTTTCATATGTTTCTTATGTATTGTTATGCGAGAGAAAGTATCTAAGTAGATAGGTATACATAAATTTGGTAGCAACTTTATTGGACGTTTTGTAACGGTTGACTTTCTTGTGAGTAACTCACATGACATTTATATTTATTTCATAGTATGATGAAATACAAGTGCGAAAAAAATACGAAAGATTATCAAAATTTATTTAAAATAACTTTATGATATTAATTCGTCTTTTTATTATTTGATTTTGAAATTATAGATAAAACCAAAAATGAATTCAGAATTTCTCCATCGCTCACAGTACTTTTTGTAACGGTCATCTGAGGTTTAATTTATTATATACACGACATTCCACGTAATTTGCAATTCGATTTAATTTAAAATTCCTTATATTACTCCTCCAAAAATTTAAGCAATATATTCCTCTATAAAAATTCAGTAAAATTAACGATTTTTCTTCAATTATACATAAAGTATAACAAAAACTATGTGATATATATTTTTTTTATTAAAGTAGTGTAATACAAGTCAAACACAGTAGAAAATTATAGGATTCTACATTTCAAATAATAAAAACCGTATCTGTATATATAGAAAAAATAATTTTTTTTATATTTAAAAATTGTGTCACTGGAAAATTATGGGTGATAGAAAAACTGTTTGCATTTTTTAAATTTAGCACAAAAATATATTATATAAAAGAATATTACATAAGTCACATAATTTAATTCACATGTGAGAAAAAAGTTCTGTTTTTGTAGGCCAGTGCGGCTTTAGTTGCGCGAAGTTCTCAGACGGGTTCATTCAACCGTCTCCAGCGAAGTTTCCTGTCTTAGCTTTATTATATGTTATATATGCATATGTCACGTGCTATATTATCGTTGCGAAAGAGGTTGAAAACAATTCGAGCCGACGATTTTTGCTTTCTTATTGCCGCGCGTTACGTGACTCAAGTACTAATCGTAAATTGGCCGACTAGTCGCTCCGTCCAGTCTGTCTGACTGCCATTCGCTTGAAATATTCAGTGTCGGAAAATGTGCGTGACCTTGACACGCACCTTCCAGACCGCGGTCTCTTCGACAGGACGTGCCTCGAGCATCAAGCACGCGGACCGCGCGCTGTTGGAAATCTGCGGCCTGAAAAATTTCGTCCGCCCCAGAGAGTATCGATCACTGCTAAATGAATCATTAATTACGTTTTCATCTATATGCCTTACGGAACCGTGACTCCATCGACAAAGTGGAATGTCCGTAAATTAAAGAGACATTTTTGAAGGACAGAATATATTAGTGAGCTTTTACGGGACGCATGTGTATGCACACCATTTTTGGAGTTAATTTGGAGAGGATTTACTTCTCTAATAAATCAGCAGATATTAAAATACTAATTGGAATATACAATAAAGATAATCGGATTACCTTTAAATATGCGAAACCGGCGTCCATCGCAATGATATCGTCGATTGCATTGAAATATATGCCAGAGTAGAAGGTCCCCAGACATAGACAAGTATGATTCGGCAACAACTTTACTAATTGATTTGTAAACGTTATGTCTCTTATGAGTGGTACATACGGCACTCATATTTAACGCATAGAATGACGAAATAGAAATATGAAAGAAATACAAAAAGAATTATCAGAATTTGCACGAAACAGTCTTATAATATTCGTTTTTTTATCTTTTTATTAGTTGAGTTTGAAATTATAAACTGGATTACTCATGATTAATAAAGTTCGACTTTTATTTGTCTCTTACTTATTGACTTATAATATTTATTTATGATAATGTAAGTTTAATTATTAATTCAATACAGTATATTTACTTCACAAATGTAATTAAAATAATCGTAGAGTCTTTTTCCGTCACATTGATTGTCTCACGTCGTAATAATCATGAAAGTCTGGGTATTTTATTGTGTAATTAAAGTAAATTATTTGTTATTAAGGGATTGTACAATTGATCTTCCTTTTTAAAGGAACATTGTTGTTATTATTGTTATTGTTATTATCATTCAAAAAACATTTTCTTCATTCACCATCATTGCTGTGGAAATTACGTAACTAGTGGATTAAGGAACAGAGCTAGTGGATTAGGGAATAGTTATGTAATATTAAATAACAATGTTACGTAAAATTATTCTGTTTCTTGTACATATTATGTTTTGGCGGAAAAATCGATTCGATTGCTGCACAACTTGCACAAACGCCGACCACGTTTTATGCAAGTGCACACAGAAAAATATCGTTCTATTGTTAAAAAAAGCGAAGATAAACTCAGTTTACTTTTCTTCTTTTAAGTAATGGCTATCTTCAACAAAGAATATCTTCTTGATAATAATCTGAAAATATACTCATCGCAAATTCTGAAGAAGCTTATTATCATTCAGTCAAAAAAAATATATTCTCATTCTTAGTGGAATCCTCTTATACAAGGTGCTTAAAAAATTGTTAACATTTATATGGAGAAAAAGTTACTTTCATATATGCATATACTCAAGAGGAGATTTTATTCTCTTTGCAAGAATATTATATATCGAAATGAAAAATAGAGTTAAACTCTATAAACAAAAATTTAAACATAGTAAACAAAAATGTTTAATATTCTTGATTGAAATATTAAATTTATTAGAGTTCAGAATGTATTTTGACTAAATTTGATGCTTGTAATTAATTTTTGTGACAGATTTGCAAATGTATAAACTTATGAAATATTTGAAACAAGTAACATTTACTTGAACTCAATACTTTTCTATGTACTAATTCGCTATGCAAGACATGTCACCAAATCTCACACACTTCTCAACGTCGCAGAAATGGTTCGCGTGGTTGGAACCCGTTAGAGCGACGCTGTTAATTCGCCGTGTTAATGCCGAGAGACGCGGACTGTAATTTACGCGCGACAAACGATCGATTCGTCGAACCTCGACACACATAACATAACGTGTCCTCGATTGCCGGCGGTTGGTCGATATGTTACACAGCGAAGGGAACAATCGCGTCAAGCAATTTTCCGCATTCGAGATTTGTGGTCTTATTAACGTTTAACAGAGTTCAAGTAGATCACAGATATATCCCACGTGGCTTTTTATGTTCAACCAAGCGCGAAGACCTATGGAATCTTGTTTTTACGTGAGCAACGTATTGTCACATATTTTGTTATTTCAGGACTTTAACGACACACTGCACTACATATCGCACATGCGAGTGTAATAAAATCCCCGTGAGAAACTCATTCTCGGATATATCGAGTGATCTCATAAGTGATCTCATAAATAATATCGTTTCTTGAAACTAATTTTCAGGGTAAAATGTTGAATAATTACATCTTACTTTTACGCTCCGATGTAGGTATATAGAATGAATATTGTTTCTTTCAAAGACATAAAGGAAAGTTTGTGTACGTTCGCCGTCTAAACAAGATGCCTATTTTGTTTAAAGTAAAATAAGAAATGACATTATGTGGAACGGACTAATAGACCGAGCAAAATTACATATACAATTATATATAATACACAATGATATATAATTCATATTAGAATTTTGTCTCTAGATGGGTACATGAACTCATCAAACTAAACGTAAAATTACTATACTATTTTGTAAATAATTGCGCAGACTTTTAGTTATTGATTAAAAAAGATCTGTGCATTATCGCGTACAATTATGCATAATTTTCTTTAATTAATAACTAAAAATTTATATCATCATTTGTAAAATGATAAAGAACTTTTTTGTTCAGTTTGACTTAATGTACAAGTACAGTGACAGACGTCGTCATCATGTACCGTATTGCGCGTGATTATTCAATAATTTTCTTTAACCAACAACTCAATATTTTACGTGTGTGTTTGCGAAATGATAAAGGAATTTTATGTTTAGTTTGATGAGTTCAACCTATACACATACAGGTGTGTCAATAATTGTCAGATATCTTATATAATTATATGTAATTATGCAAGTCCACACAGAAAAAACTGAATGGAAAAAAGAGAAAATAATTTTATTCAATTAAATGTTAATAATTTTATTCAATTAAATGTTAGCATCGCAAAGTACTACAAAGATTAATTATTTTAATAATATTTGTACAATTTTACCGTGTGGACATATATAATTATGTATAATTATACATAATTATATATGACTATTATATATAGAAAGACCAAATTTAAATATATATATATATAAACATTTTTCTCATTAGTAACGTAGGTTAAAGTGCGCGAAGCTTCTTCTTCGCTGCCGTTGATTTTCGCGAATGCCATAGGTCGACTTACTTAACGCGCAGTTTTTGGTCAACAAGGAGGGGCTCTAAAAGAAATCTCCACCTTAGATTCTCGGCACAGTTCAGTGATGTCGGGACACGTTCTTCGTTTCTGTGCGACGCACGTTTTGTGCGTGTTTCGTGTGTGTGCTGTTTGTAAAATGTGTCATCACATATAGGGTATTGTGAGAATCGATTAATCGAAGAAATAAATGAAAATATTAGAAGATCTATAAAATGTTGCTCAATGTATGCAGTTTAATGTATTTTAATTAAGGTTCTTTTTTTTCCTCTTTCATCTTCTGCTTTAAATTTTTTTCTCTTATTTGTTTTCTTATATTGTTACAATCATGTCATTATAATCATGTTATTACAATTATGTTATTATAATTATTTCAAATTATAAATTTGTTAAATTTTATTATTTATTATTTAAAAGTGATGAGACCTCTTATTAAAATGTATTTAAATTTTTTCCAATGATTCTAACTTCTTTTTACTCAATTGACATTTTGATTTGTATTTTTGATGTTTGATACGCAATGTACTTTTCTTCGGGCACTCGAGTCACTCGATATACCTACATGTACAAATCTGTTCGTATATTTTACATTCTGTACGTACATTATATGTCGCCTGGCACCTGTTTACGGTGTTTGAATACAGGTCAAGGTTGAAGATTACTGCGATGGCTGAAAAGAGGCTTCGGTGTTATATACCCAAAAGCATAATAGCAGCCGTCGCAATTAGTTAATACACGATAAATTAACGAAAAAATAATGTACAATGAGAGGTATAGTGCTTGACAAGGTGTATTTTTGTCCGTCTGTGGCGACCGGTTGATGACGACGCGATTTGCCGTACGGAAATTAAAATTTATTTATGCAAATATGAGTTAATCCCTACTTGGATTTATAGACGTACGTGTGTGGGAAAACACGAAAATTGAAACGCGCGAATGCATCAAGCGGGACATATGGGACAACGGCTGTTTTCCACCACACGGACGCTTTTTATCTGTAGTTACGAGCGTACTTGTATGAAGAGATGACGTCAACAATTAATCCGCATCCAGTTGCGCGATTTACGTAAGAATCCAGACGGTGGTGACATTTAATTTCGGTGTCTATGCACCGCGTAGCGCCTTCAATTTTTATTAGCTAATTTTCATACACGTTGCACTTGCATGTACGAGTGTCGAAATTCCAGCCTCGGCTCGTTACGCGTTGCTAACTATCGCAACGATACAGGTGTGTGCATCGCGATACTCAATGCCGTCATTGTCGCACGGTCTGAAAGCGTCGTTTCATTATATGCTACATGCATATCGAGTGTTTCGCACTACCATCCTAATTGTAATCCGCCAACCGAGGAGATTAAACATAGTCCATGTGGTTACCATACCGATAGACACTTCCGTTGCGACATTTCGCAGATAAGTCATGACTTACGTTTCATTAACACTTCGTCCAAGTCGTCCTTAGAATTATGTAAAGAAACGATATGATTCCAAGACCGCTTTATATCATCGTTTCGACTGTGCTGGGAAAGGCGATGCACGTTTTGGGCGGCACGAAAAGAACGGGACGCGCGTGAGGCCACGCCGCTTTCCGACTCGAGTCACGGTCGAAGTGAAATTGGTGTTGGGAACAACGTTGCGAAATATGCATACGTACTTAACTCACCTACTCTAAGGATCGGTCTAGTTCGATACGGGTCAAGGTTACGACGTCGCAACGAACGAGGACCTGTCATAACAACGGATCGATCGCGACATTGATCCGTCAGATCATCATGATGACGACGATATGGAGTGCGTATATTATATTCCAAATAACATCAACTTCTAAAAGACATCTTAAGGTAATTATATCATGAGTTTTTTGAGAATTTGTTGGGACATACACAGTTGATGGGACTGTACATATACATTTGATGGGATTTGTACATACACAGTGAAATATTATCTATTTGTATAATTAGAAGAGAATTGACCTTCGAAGAGATTCGAGAGCTGAGATATATGCAGCTAAAATTTAACAACTTTTGTATGTGCTTCTTGCAGCTAGCATGCACTGAAAAAAAAAATCGAGTGAAGAAATGAACCGACTATCTGAGTAAATTTAGTTGCATCACTTGTAAGTCAAATCTAATAAACATTAAGTCCATTCAACAATCTAATGTAAAAATTTCAACAAAGAAATTTAGTTAAAAGTAACAAGTCAATAAAGACTAAAATTTAGTTATATGCTAAGAAAAAAATACTTGAAAATTTATTTGGAATATGAAGTTTATTTCTGAGGAACAAAATTTATTTTTGTGAAATGAAGTTTATATCTATGAAATAAGCTTTATATTCCACAAATAAATTTTCAAATATTTTTCTTTAATGTGTGGACACTATAAGTATTTTTTCAACTTATGAAAAAGTCGATCTAACTGCATAATATGGGTAGAAAATTAAGCCAATCAGATGATAAATGTATTGAACTAATGACATTCATAATTGGACATTTGCGAAATTTATTCACCTGGAAGAAATCACTATAATAGTTTCCTCAAGATTGTTGAAAAAGTTACAATATACAGGTTGCGCTAGTTACCTCGCTTGCTCGCAAATAAATTCTCGTTACGGTGAAATATAAACAAGCTTCATCATTTAACGATTTATATATGATGTGCAACTGTGTGTACTGTCTGGAACTTGACATACACACATGATTGTATATATGAATGCCTTTTACCATTCGCTAGATTGATAGTTATTAGAAATTCTCAACCAGCCGTTTCTAGCTGCGCATTTTTCATGACTGTTGCTTAATCCAAAAAGCGAAAATGCTTCAAGCAAAAAGTAAAATTTTAATAGCTTGACGTTCTAGCAAAGAATATGTATCAGCGAAGAGAGTTATCCGCTCATACGACATATGACGCGTAATCAAAAGCAGGAAAAAAGTAAAAGTGTTAAGAAAGGAGGAAGAAGAGTTGTGAAAAAGATGTGTATAGAATAGCGATCCGGTCCCTCTTTAGTTACACAAACCGAGATTTTTTTCGTGTAGAGTTAGTTCTCATTGATTTCGCTTATATTATTCATATCATTCACTTCTTCAGCTAAGTGCTACTCTCGACGTTGACGTACGCTCTCTCGAGTCCGCGAAAGTTAATTTTTTCTTTCTAATTTATTGCGACGGACGCGTTATACGAAAGGTGTACAATAAAATGGCAAATCCGGCGCGTGACGTAAATCAATTCCGAGTGACTAAATGCGTAGACTAATTGGCTACGTATCTGTCCTCATTGTCGAGGTCTTGAACGTTGCACAAATGAATGATTGCACCGTTCGCGCTCACTGAAAACTCGCGCGTTTCCGAGAGTGTCCTTGTATAGATAGGTAGATAGGTCCCGCATGAGTGACTTTTGCATCGTTGCGTCTTGCATAAGCGACGAGGCGATTGCGGGCGTGCAGCCCCTACATCTCGTAGAGGTGACGACTCTCCCCATTGACATCCCTTGCGCAATCGAAATTTCTCCGAAGCCGTCCGATTACCCGGCCGAAAGGTCACTTACCTCTTGCACAAAGTAGTTACTCATTCGTTACGCTATCGGTCGTCCCGAGGAGCGATCAGGCTGCATTACTCGCTTACGAATAACATCTGCAGAAACTACTTACCCGGAATTATCTGGGATAATTACCAGCGCGGCCTATCTCCCGAGGATTCGTGATTGCGAATGCCCGGATAAAAAATTCCTTGACTTAATTCGGATATAAAGTTATTATCCCCAGAAGAATTGTGATTCGCATGAAAATTTTCCAAATATTTTTAAGTATTATAATTTCGATTAGCTTACTCAATCTTGTCTCAAATAAGTGTATTACGATATCAATTAAGAATCCCACTCTTACTCTAAATATAGAAAATGTTTTGAGATTTAATTGGGATTTATTACGATTTCCCAAATAAATAAAATTGCAATTGCAAGTGAGAAATACACACCAAACAGATTCTATTTGCTCTGCCCAACGTTTTCTCGAAATTTATTCGGTTTCTATTTTATCTCTCCCTATCCGACATGCTGATTGATTCTACGTTGCCACGTTGTGATTCATTTCAGCGTTTAGATCGTGTGTTGACAACTTTGACAGTTCGTGGTTAAACGATTCGCGGAAGTTGTATATTTGGATAGTTCGACTCAAGAAATTGCAGAAAGGGAGTCTTCTAATCTCTGATATGTTTTTTTCATCATAAGTTCTCTTATGCTAAATGCAACCATATATAATGAAGTTATATTTCAAAAACATATTTTTTAAAAATAAAACTTTTTTAAAAAATATTGAAAACATATACACATACTCTTTCCTTGTTATTCGTATCAGTCTTACGCGTTTGCTACTTAACGACGGCCTTCTTTCTCTTTTTTTTTCTTTCTGCTTCATAATTTCTTATAATAGATAGAGATGCAGATAGATATTTATAAAATTAATCGCATAAATGATTTTTATTAATTACATATATATTATGTATATCATAATAGTTGAAGCAGTAAAAACATCTAACACATCTCTGGTATCATACATTAATTAAATAGAACAATATAGTAAAATACAGTAGTAAAATAAATAGTTGTACTAACATATTATAAATAACTGACAACTTATGAAAATAGATACTTATATTAGTGGGTGCATAATAAAGTGCTTAATTATTTTTTATGCATTGCATGATTTATTATTAATGTAATATGTAATTATTATTATGTGTAGTATGTAAATTATTTACATGTAGTGTATCAGAATACGATTTTTATATAAAAATTTTCGATATGTTTGCAAGAATATTCAAGAGTTTAATGTGTGAATATATGTGTAAATATATGTGTGAGCAGTACGTTTATCTGTGAGTGAAATAGGAAATGTTATTGACTAATATAGTAAAATAAATGGATGTAATAATAAGTAGGGATTTTCTTTGAAGGGACTGTGCTTAAAAGCAATTTCCGACACCAACTAGAAATTGTTTCGTTATTAAGTTTGCCTGTTCTATAATTCTGCAATATTTCAGATTTTTTTAAATTTATATTGTCAAATATTTTTTGTTTATAGAATAACCAAAAAATTTGAATTCTTTAACCGGAACTTGCGCTGTATCTGAGAAAATCTTGAAAATTTTCTATGCGAATACGCCCGATATTTCGATCTAAATGATTTAATATAAATATGTAAATCGAGATAATGAAGGTTGCATTTACCTTTCTCATAACTGCTAATGCAGTGCGTAAGTACAATGCATAATCGATATTCGCATATATCAGTTGCCCATGAAAGCGCACTATTGATTGCACGGGAAATCGCGTTCGCTCTAATAGAGCAATTTGCGTAAATCCGTTGTCGTGGCTAACTTCGTTTTGACACAGCTAGTACAGCGTAATAAGAAATGCTCGATTGCAAAAAGTATCCATGAGCAATGCAACAAAGAATTGCATAAGCAACCGATGCACACTTTTCTATCGAGACCGACTTGAGAAATGTACCCGCGACTGACGGTTTCCGCTCTTCGGATTTCATAATAAAAAATAAAAAAATACTTTTTTTCATAAAGAAATCAAGGTCACATGTTTTAAATCATGCACTTTCTTTTACATAATATTTTAGAGAATATTAAGATGAATTCAATACACTATCAGAAATGTTACTTTTATTAACAACAATAGTAAAAAATAGAACAACTTTAACTTATGAAAGCAAATGTTCAAATTACTTACCTCCTTCTGCAACACAAAATTCTGCTCTTTTTAACAAATATGCGTAGCAGCTATTATGTTATTTGAATCTACTAGAACAATACATGCGCGCGCCATATAGCTAATAAAAAACAATAAAAATGTAAAATAAAAATTAAATAAAAATTAAATAAAAATTAAATTAAATTAAAATATACTTTAATTTATTAATAATTATAGGGAAAGACAGGGAGAGACAGGGAGAGACAGGGAGAGACGAGGAGAGACGGGGAGAAATGGGGAGAGACGAGGAGAAACGGGGAGAAACGGGGAGAAACAGGGAGAGACAGGGTGAGACGGGGAGAGACGGGGAGAGACGCGGAGAGACGAGAAGAGACAAGGAGAGACTAGGATAGATAGAGAGAGACAGTGAAAGACAGAGAGAAACAGGGAGAGACAGGAGAGACAGGGAGAGATAGGGAGAGATATATCTCTTCTGTATTTTTTTTTCGTGACTTAACCAACGCGATGACAGCTATTTGTCTGGTAATTTGACAGGCGCAAACGACAAGCTGCAGCCCACATGAAATAAGCTAAGCGAGAGAACCAATTAGCATCGCGGAAAAGCGGCAACAATTAAATCTCTTATATGCCTTTTTTTATTTGAATCTAAATTTACACAAGCTGTAATTATTCTTTCTTGAAGATTTTGAATATTATTATATATAATTAGTTCATTATTAATGTGTTTGATACACAAGAGTTTTCAGATATTCTCATAAGAAAAAATCCATCGGAAATATAGAGAACGATACGGCTATCGGA